TGTCAGGTGCAAAGGACATGGCCTTTATTGAGTTTAATAAACATGATATAAATTATATGTGCAGCAGAACAAAACAATATGGCATCTGTCATGATCATGTATGGTGCTGTTAATTAGTAACAAATTATAGTTCTGTGATGATGTAAACGTGATCTATTTCTTTCAGTATGTAAATCAAAGTGGACGTGCATTTCAGTAAGAGGCAGAAGAGGCCATCAATGCAAGCTGGTTCACAAGGCAATTTCTAGAAGTGAACAGATGTTGGTTGTTCATTTCATCAAACAGCAAAAAATACTGCTTACTTCATAGTAATTTCGATTTTAAGCTTTGGTGACTGCAGGGATTCATCTTCTTGGTTCTTTCGGTAAAGTCGGCTATTATGTTTAATTTTTTTTATTATTTTATTACTTCCCTTCATAGTAATTGTTTACTTTATCATCAGAAATTGCATTTTCTAATTAAAAGGCAACGGGCGCAGCCGTACACATTTGCTTGCTCACGTCACTGCTGGTGGAAGGGCCTCGCCTAGATGAGGCCCCCTCCCAGGGAGTTTTTGGCCTACTCTTCCACACTGGCCAGGCGTGTCGGGGAGAGGTGGGATTACACCGTGCGATCGACCGCCGATCGACCACCGATGGACTCACTGGAGTGAACCCATTTATGCCTGCCGGGTGGACAGAAGCATTGGGGTGGTGGTGGGGGATAAACTTGCCCAGTTTTGAAAATGCCATCCCTGGGAGATCGAACCGGCGACCTACGGATGGCAACTCCGGTGCACGAACCATTACACCATGGCAGAATAATATTTTTCAGTGCTCCTATTTTTTTTTATACTTTCTAATTATAATGAAAAATATACCAATTAAATACGGTCGTAATTGTCAAGGTAACAGTTTGAGAATTCCCTTAATGTAGTAATTATACAAATGCATCCGTGTGCAAAGTGGAATGTGCACCGCATATGTGCACGCCACTTATTTACGTCCACACAATTATGCTCAAACACAGAATTTAAATGTGGCCATTTCACTGCAAAGTAGAGAACGACCTTCAAAAGCTAAAGGGTAACATCATTGTCATGGCCTAAAAATAGGAATTCTGGCTGCCTAAAACAAGATTATTACTAAATAATAATTATAATATGGCAATAACACAACAGCACTGTGTTCATCCGCCCCCTCCCCGTGTCCTAAAATCAGCCGACATGCCGTGGCAGACTGAGAAAAAAGTGCAACGGGAAAAGGTCAAACTTGCAGGCCTAGGCAATGAAGGAAACACTCTTTGAAATAAGCTTTTACTAAAACAGGATCCCTGATTATACCACCAGCCCGCTTGCAAGGACTTTTAAGCTGGATTATGGAACATGAGGTTGTTCTTTGGCTACGGTTCTGTGGTTCTGATTGTGGTTTCTGGAGCAAGTCGAACAATCACCAACCGCCCCTCCCCTGCCCCGCAACAAACGTCAGATGGTCAAAGCTTGGAATTCTAAATTGAGCTGGGAGATTGAAAAACAGCCCGTTCCTCTCTCTCCTTCCCTCTCCCCGCATGCATTTCACAAATTCGATATGAATGTTCACGTCAACATACGTCATGCCTACTATGTGAATTCTGCGTCAATGTCATGTTGCTTTTCGCTATTTGAGCACCACTAGGAACAGATATCAGCGGCGACAACAATGTTCACAAAAAAATTATGGACAGAATAATAATAATTATAATAACAATAATTGTGAGGCTCTGCTATTAATCATTTTGTGGAACATTGGCACAGTGGTTAGCCCACTAGCGCCAGGAAGCCGGTGGCTCGAGTTTAATTTCCGGCCTCGATTCATATCAGTGGCAAGTAATATCTGAGCCCGTCTAGGAGGGCCTTCCTCCTCCCCCAATCAGCACTGACCGGTGTGGTGGAGCATGGCCAAAGAATCTCCATGATTGATGACAGCGTGGGAATGCCTTCATCCGTCAGTGGATTCACACATTAATATCATAACTATTATATATACATAATCGCAAACGTATAAAAGCATACACTGTTATGCGTATGTACATCTACATAGAGTGTGTGTGTGGTGGGGGGGGGGCTCCATCCAGCAGTGGATTGACTAATATAACGATTGTATATGCTTAATCACGAACGTATAAGACACGCACTGTTCTGTATCTTCAGTATGAAGTCAATTTCAAAAATGTTCTCATCTGTATTATCGAAATATGACATCTCCCTCTGACAACATTTTGATGGCCTCTCATCCGTGAATGCATCTTAAGAAGCTTCCAGCTGTTGTACTCTCAACGTGAGTCAAAACATGCCACGTGGGTGACAGTAGATTTTACATGGACATCTATTTATATGCTAGCCTTTTGCCCGTCCAAGGACCGGTGCATTGCAGTAAATCTGAAACTTGCAAGCGAAAATCACACCTCGACGTGATATTCATTGCATCAATTCGTGTGCAATTTGGAATTCCGAAGAGACAGTTATTAATGGAGGGGGGGGGGGTATCCATTTGGAAGACGTCACCTCTTCATGATTATTAATGAGGGGGGGGGGGCTGTTGGCTGTGGAGTGACGTCACCCGCTCATGATTAAATCTTGACTGCAGGAATTGATATTTTTTGGGTTTTTCGGTAAAGTCACGTAGATAGGTTCAAAGAAAATAACAAAAAACTACGACGTTTCGATCGCAACACAAGCGGTCGTCATCAGGATCGAAACGTCGTCGTTTTTTATTTTCTTTGAACCTGGCCGACGTGAAGTGACGTCACACGCGGACACACAAACAGACATTATTGGCTCATTATAGTAGTAATACCAACAAAGGCATAATGTATTCTCTTGATAATGTCAATTCTCTTGTGAGCTGCGACGATTGAGTAGACTTCACGAAAACAATTGTAATCAGTTAAAATTATGTGGCCGATGACTCGGGCCATTTTTAATAATGGCAGCTGCCATCACATCCTGCCCCTCGAAGGTGGGAAACCCCCCTAGAGGCCACACCCAGCGTGACGCCCGGCTGATGATGCAGTTGACAATAACCTCCCGTCCAGCGGCACAAGTGGAAGCAGAGGTGATAATTTTTTCCAACATTTTTTTAGACCAGCATGACGCCCGGCTGATGATGCAGTTGACAATAACCGAGCCCCGTCCCATCACCTCCCGTCCAGCGGCACAGGTGGAAGCAGAGGTGATCATTTTTTTCCGACAATTTTTTTTTATAAACTCATTAATCGAGCAAAATAATTGATCATTGATGGAGTGATTGATTGCGTAAATAATCGGATGGGTAAGCTCCAATTATTGTTTGAAACCACAGAGAGAGCTTTCGTGTAATGGAGTATTCTGGGTAATAAGTTATACAGTCCCTCCGAATCGTAAAATCAGTCCAGAATGCGCGCGTTTAAACATGCCGATATGGATTGGAAGGTGATTCATATAATTTAATAATGAATTGACTCGGGTGTTTTTGTCAAAAGGTGTCATCTTACTGTATTTTTTCTGGGTCAATGATATGGAATTACATGTTTACAATAACAATCAACCTTGACATCATTTCTCAAGATGTTATTATTATTATTTCCTACTGGGCGCCTTGGCTGGCTTTAATGAAATGTAAAATGTATTAAACATTACACATTGAGCGAAGCACTGGACTTCTTAACCCTAATACAGGTAATTCTAATTCCTGACATATAAGTCATAGATGAACCCCCATACTATTAAAATATGTTTCATGATGACTAATGTATGTAACTTGTGCAGTATGTATATACAGTAGAACTCTTATCAAGTAACCTAATTGCTCTTCTTGGTTCTTTCGGTAAAGTCACGTAGAAGGGAAGTAATAAAATAATAAAAATAAAACATAATAAAATAATTATCACGACGTCTCCCCGACATACCTGGTCTTCACCTGAGGACGGCTCCTTGCGTTGTGGCTGAAACGTCGTGAGAATTATTTTATTATGTTTTATTTTTATTCTTTTATTACTTCCCTTCTACGTGACTTTACCGAAATAACCAAGAAGATTAATCCCTGCAGTCACGAAAGCTTTAAATCGAAATTTAACCTAATTGCTCTCAACTTATTTTATGCACAGGAGCCAATAGGTCCACAAAACCTCATATTATCAGCAACTGTATTTTTATTATCCGCTATTATCCAATATAAGTGGATTAAATTAAGGACATAACCTCACAGATAATAATAGGATGTGGGGTTCCATTAAAACATATCTCGCAGATAATGGTACCCAGCTATGGCAGATAAGAGGAATTTTACTGTATTGTTTATTTTATATTTAAAATGTTATATCGGTTGGCATGGTTTCCCAAAGGCCGTTTGCTGTATTTTTTCTCGCAACGCATTTCCCGAGCCACATAAAATCGTCTGCGATTACGTACAGAAAAATGTTACTTCAATCCATTATTTTGGCCGTCAGCCCCGAAGTTGGAATGCTTTACTCAAAAGGCACAGGTGCTGACAAAATTGTAAAGGGGAGGGGGAAAATGTCATGCTTTAAACATGGGCCGTGGAGAGGCAATGAGTTTGTAGGCTTATTGTGATTAATGACATAGAGTGCTCACGACCACACTGGCTTTGCATCAAAAACACAACCGTAATGTCAAAAGCTTCGGGTCACGAGCATCACCGTGATTAACACGGTTTTTTCCCTGCGGCACTGCAGGGTTCCCGGGTAGCGAGGGGGCGTTCGCATCCCGGCACAATTGGCGAACGCAGCAAAATCTGTGGCCACGTGCAATGTCCAATGTTGTTCCTCGCCTGCTCCTGACAAAAGGTGATTACATTTTTTGTTGTTGAGAATGTCAAGAAGTATCAAGTTTACAATTCTCAAAAGGTCTTACGTCGACCAATATTCGAGTATAAACGTGGTGCCAACGTGTTCAGCAGTTTTTTGTGGCATTGCGGGGGAGAGTTGTTTTTTTTTTATCAGCGTATAATTTCCGCTCACGTGCACAGTTAAATCAAATAAGCTCCGTGGAAAGTTTTTGTATTTCTTGTATTTTTTCCTGCCAGGTTACCTGAGGACATTGCAGCAGATCGTAAACTTCTATACATCCTAATTGAACACTTCACTTAAAAATGGAATTACAGTTTGCAAATCATACGATTGTAATGTAATTCGGCCACACATAGCCCAATTGAAGTGATTATTTACTTATAATTTGAATGTGTAATTAACAACTGTTATATATGGGAATGCTAAATGATGGTTCTGTCAAAATATTTTAAATATCATACCACAGTATTTAAAAACAATAAATATACGTACATACGTTGCTACGTCACTGCCAAAGAAATAAACGCCTTTAGATTGCCAAGATTAGAATTTCACCAGATTTGCGACTACTGCGAATTTTACTGCTGATGTCTTGAATTTCTGAACCTCAAGGCTGCATCTATTGACCTCATGGCCCTGCCACCTGCGATTTCTTGAGCAGAGTGATGAATTAAAATAGGCCAGTCACTTCCCATCGCTTCTTTTCTGCAGTTGGCAAATATGCAAATAGTCACCTGACATGTCTGCACTCTCCAATGTCCAGTTATATAAAGTACTTACATACAATATTTGCACAAATAAAATGAAATTGTTCACTAAAAATAAATCGTAATTTTCATGCGAGCTGCAGTCACAATTAAGTAATGCCTTGCGTGGAGGCGCAAGCGTTCTGCTCACGAAACAAAAGCCGTCTGCAGACGGAAACTAATCCCTGGTTCTGTGATAAGAGTTTGAAAGAAAACGAACAGGTCTTACTCAAAACAATCAGCCCCAGTATCTCGGCAGCCAGAGGAGGCGCCTACGTGCACGATTTCTGCGAAACTCTTGGCCGCGGGACTTTCCTAACCCCAGCGACGAACGTGTGTGGGCGAATGCCATGGAGGGATCGAGAGAGGCACAGACGCAGGGAAAACAAGTGAGTGGTCTCCGCGGTGGACAGGTCACGGTGGACAGTTGTCGCGGCAATGCTGGACATCTGTGAATCAAGAGCTTCATAGCTCTTCGTATTCCCCCAGTATAAAGAATGATTCTAATTATGAAGGTGCTGCAGTGAAATAAACCGTTACATTGCAAATGGTGCCGCATGGTAAATGTTGGGGGGCGGGGGGGGGGGTTGGCTATGGTGAATGGGCTATATTCTATGGTTGGGATTCGTGTTAGAATGTATGTGGCTACGGTTAGGAGTTCGAGCAATTCCTTGCGTTAGTACTCTTTGGTTTTTTCGGTAAAGTCACGTAGGTAAAAAATTTAAATAAATGAAATCACGACTTAGCGAAAGCACACCGCTTAAGCGGTGTGCTTTCGCTAAGTTGTCCCCACCTGAAGAAGGACGCTTGTGTTGCACCCGAAACGTCGTGGTTTAATTTCTTTAATTTTTTTTACCCGCGTGACTGTACCGAAAAAACTATAGAGTATGAATCCTTGCAGTCACGAAAACTTCAAACCTGGAATCCTCGCGTTAGTGTCTAAGAGCGTTCGTGCCAAGGTCGCGGCAATTAGTGTAAGTGCTCGTCGTCGAGATGGTGGTGTCTGTGTTGGGCTTGGTGTGGTCTTTATTTCGTGACAGCAGTGGGTTAAGGGTTAGTGGTTCGAGGCGGGTTTAGTAACTCGCGTCTCGTTTTTCGTACTGTGAAGGCGACGGTTTCGCTTCGGGTTGTGGTTGTTCTTTGTGAGAGCAGTGGCTACGGTTTGTGTTCATTATACAGGTGGCGCTAGTGGTGTTGTTAAAGTTAGTGTATCGGTGTTGTTTAACATCACGGTGTTTGGTTCACGATGGCAAATGTGGAACATGATGCCACCTCAGAGATACGTATAGGCATCATTGCACCATTAAGTTACGAATATTATTCATTATTGTAAGGGCAATGGTTAGGGTTAGTGTTAGTATTAGTGCTGGAGATGTGGTTATTATTCGTGTAAGGGCAGCAATGGTTCAGGTTCATGTACAAGGTAGTATTTGTGATCTAGCTATGGGTTATTTTTCATATGAGGCTATGTATGTATGTTGAACTTCTTTCACACTGTACGTAGCGAACCGTGCTTATCGGAGGTGTGCGGGAAAGGACAATTAACGAAACACAAAAAACTGTTCTAACGAATTGACTTTTTAATCTAGATTATTTAAAAGTGCATAGCTCCAGTGGCTTCCTAATATCGGAAGGCGAGAGCGTTCCAGACGGCCGCAGAAGCGCATCTGAAAGCGCGTGCGCGCAATGCGGTGAATGGTAACGGCTCGTTGTTGTTTCGAGGTGGCATTCAAGTTCAAGTTCATTTATAAGGTATAGCCCTGTGAGCCATTCGGCTCTTGAATCGGGTGCAACCGCAACAAACAAAAAAACATGAACTAAAGACATCTTAAAGTGAATATGTGACTAAGTGCAAACAGAAAATCCAAGAAAAGACAGCAAAATATTGCAGAAAAAACACCGTACACCAACGCTGTGTGCACAAATCCCAGTGGGATGCAAGTCAAACAACAACAACAGCATTGCCATTGGTCAACGTTTCCCTGCGCCACACCGAACACCTCGTGGCTCTTCCCCTTCAGGCAAGTCGCTCACCGAGTGGCCTGGTGGAGCCCGGTGTGGCGGAGGCTCGCGGGATGCCGACGGGGCTGGTCCTGCGGTTCTGGCCCGTCCGCGTGCGCTTCGGGGTCCTCGGTCTCGCCGCCTGCGTCGTCTCCACCGTCCTGCTGCTCTTCCTCATGGACGAGGAGCTGTCGGGATTCGGGGAGGTAAGTCCCTTGCCGGCGCGAGCCAGGCGGCTGGCGTTGAAGTTCTGACCGACTCTTCGTTGTGTGAAACGACAGCGACCGCGAGGATTGCTCGTGCGTAGCAACTCGTGCGACGATGGACGGATTCGTCGAATGAAATCAATTCTTAGGCTTAGGATACAAGAGTCGAATTGCCTGAATGAGAATCGATTATTTGCTATGTATACGAGTTATATGAATGTACATGCTCATGTTATGTCTAGCTAATGTAGCCTGTATCATATGACAAAGATATTAGAAAAATATAAACAAAATGACATCGCACAAACGAGATAATTTTTTGTATTGAATCCAAATGACGCCTAAAATCATGATAATTGGGGGCTGTGGCAGCGGAAATGAATGATTAGATGCCTAAAATAAATGTTCAAGTTCTGGCTCATTCCGAGCATGCAGTAAATAGGGCTTGATGGATCACACCGTGATGGAGCCATCAAACGTGTCAAACACTACACCTACATGGCAATGACGAGGGTACAAGAGGCAATAGAACAAGAACACTTTCGACAAATTTGTGCTGAGTTTAAGTGCCATCGTTTCAAATGAGTGGCTTTTTTTCTGGGCCCTCCAGTTTCCTCCCACACATGTAAAAACACTCAAGTAAATGGCCAATCATTACAAAGAGAACAGCCACACTTTATTTTATTTTTTACTTTATGTCATTCTGGTCATTCAGGTCACTGTTTGCGAATGAGATCATCCTGGTGCAGTGAGTTCTCACCTGGTTAAACAAACACACTCGAATTTGAGAGTCACCGAGATGTTCTTGTGAAGATAAGAAAAATAACTGCTCGCTAACAGCGGTCGACTTATGGATAGACTTTTCATCGCCTGTCGTCAAACTGCTGGGTAGATTCCAGAGAAAAAAACAGCTATTCCCAGCCAAGCTTATGTTCTACCTTTTCCGATTGTATAAGACACTCAAAGGCAGCACAGTCCTTCCCATGTGGTTTCACGAAAGAAAAAAATCACTGAAAAAAATATTTATATGATAAGTTATAAATTCAAAGACAGAAGGTGCAGAGGGAGACAGAATAGAGAGCACTTTTCACGTGAGTTTGATTTTTGCATTGCTGCTCACCTTCCGTCCCCCTGCACTACACACACAGAGGTAGCCGATGTGCTTTGGGGTGCCACGGTGGCGAGATGTTAACTACCTCACCTGGTATACAGGAGGTTGTGGGTACGATTCCCAACGCTGACGCTTGTATATTTGGAGTTTGCGTGTCTCTCTCCTCATGGTGGCATGGATTTTTCTCCGGGTCCCCAGGTTTTTCCCTCCACATTTAGAAACAACGTGCACTTAAGAGCATTTGGCTGCTATAAATATCCACATAAATAAGGTCGCTTCTGAAAAAAAAAATGATTTATATAGCTCAGTGGGCCTCTCCTAGTAAAATACATTTTTGTTATATCAGCTAAACATTAGCCTCCGAAACAACACTGGGGGGGGCAGGGGGGGGGTTGGAGAACACTGCGCCAACGTGACAACCGTGAAAGTTTGCGTGGTGACCGAGAGCCACTCCCGTGGACAGGATTAGCGGTTTACCTCCCACAGGACAGCGGTTCCCCGATGTGCACGGCCCTGCTGCGTAATAATCTTTGGTTCTGCCCCTGTTGAGCTTCTTGGGGCTCTCCTTATGATCCACGTGCCAGCCCAGGTCACGCCCGTCGGTTGTCCATTAACACCCTGAGGAGGTCACCTTGAATGTGTTTGTTTTAATATCGACTCGGAGCGTTTGGTATTTTTAGTTAAAAAGGTACTTGATATTTTTTCTGACACGTAGAGATAACGGTGGAGGGGAAGGGGGTGTGGGAGCAGTGGCGAGCGCAGTGGTGAGCGCAGCTTGCGTTGAGAAGCCGGCGACCTGAGTTTAAATCCTCGTCTTTACCGACGAGCGATATCTCAACTGATCCTGGGTAATCCCTCCCCCCCCCACCCTTTACCAATACAAACTGACTAGCGTGGTGAAGTATGGTCAAACAATCCCAAAGAATGACGTCACATAAGAGGGATACCTTCATCCAGCAGTGGAATGGCATTGGCTGAAAAACAATTTATATATAATTTTGTTTATTTTCAAGCTTATTATAATAATGTTTTCTTTTCTCACGTGACATTGAGTCCACATGTAATGTTCTTGCAAACAAAAGTTTAAACCGTGTCACCATTCCCGCTGTGCATGTGGTGTGTGTGGAGAGTGGTGGCACAGTGGTTAGCACACTTCGCCATGAACCGGTGCAACGTAGATTAGAATCCCGGCCGATGTAGATTAGAATCCCGGCCGTGGGAGAATATCTCAACCAGCTCTGGGCCACCTCTAGGTCGACTCGACTTTAAAGGAGTACCTGTAATCATCGTGTATTATGTATGCCGTGCAACCCATGCAGTACATCGAGGTGCCAGAACAAATGGGTATTTGAGATAATAACATGTATGTATGTACGTATAAATCTTGACTTAAAGCTTTCGTGACCGCAGGAATTCATATTCTTTGGGTCTTTCGGTAAAGTCACGTAGGCAGGTTGCTATTTTCTTTCAACCTATCTGTGTGGCTTTGCCGAAAGACCCGAAGAATATGTATGTACGTATGTTGAACTTCTTTCGCAGTGGACGTAGCCAAACACGCTTTTCGGAAGAGGCAAAAGCGGCCAGGTGTAATCGTAGCAGCAGTACTGACCATACCACCCTCTCATGCACCAGGCTGGCTGCAATAGGTGCTCGCTACTAGTACTTGCCCCAATGATCTGTATGGCTATAACAGTTGATCTTTTTCCGTGTGTGTACGTGTGCATTTCAGAATGACCAACAGCACTTCGCCAAGCAGGTCCTCTTGCAGCAGCTCCATTCTGCCAGCAATGAGATTTCCTTCCGTAATCTGACCAACATGGACATGCCGCTTAACGTGACGTATTACCACCTGGCCGGCTTCCTGCTGAACAAAAAAAGTGAGCGGAGCCCGGGAGCGACCAGTGGCGGAGTGGTTTGTCCTCTCGCTGTGTAGTGGTTTTACAGGAGCAGCGCGGTACCGCGCACCATGCACAAGCTCAACATGCTGGGGGGAAAAACAAATATGAATACGTTTCGTTGCTTAAAACTGCTTATCAGTTTTTTTTTGGTATTGAGCCATCATCAGCCAACCAATCGGCTGTGAAATGATAGCAGATGTCACTCATTCAGTTATACAGTGTGCTGCTGCCAATATACATAGACTCCTGAATTATATTGTAGACAGTCTTCTACTCGTATTCTTGGTTCTTACGGTAAAGTCACGTAGAAGGGAAATCATAAAATTATACAAATAAAATTCTCACGACGTTTCGATTGCTGTGGTTTTCACACCTGATGGTGATTGCTTGTGTTGCAATCGAAACATCGTGAGAATTGTATTGTTTTATTCTAATTATTTTATAATTTCCCTTCTATGAGACTTTACCGAAAGCACAAATAATATGAATCCCTGCAGTCACGAAAGCTTTAAATCGAAAAGTCTTCTACTCGTATTGACTGCTAAGAAAGGTAAGCGGGCTTGATCAAGGAGACATTTCTGGAACGGATGATGGACGGTGTCACGTGTTAATCTAACTTAAGTTTTATAATCTCGAATCTACAATGATGGATTAGTTTGCACAATTATTGGTGATTGGGCTGAGACCATCAATATTGATGCACTTGAGAACCAGTATTATTAACGGGTGGCTGACACTCAAACTTGAACCTAGGATCTGAGTATTGTCAGACCAAGTGTTATGACCCCTGAACTGCCGAACCACCTCCATGAATTACGTGAAAAAGAGCTTCATAGCTCATCGGATTTCTACAAGATAAATAAGGATTGACAATCTATCAACGGTATCAAACTTAACTGGTTGAGATTCAGTTCTTCAAAATTAACTGGAATGTGCTCATCCTATGAATATCTCCGATGCTAAGCAGTGTTGAGCCCGGATCGAACTTGGATTTATTACCCACCATGCATAGCCGGTGTTAGAAGTTTTAGAGCTACATAGTAGGCAGTGCAACAATAAACATTGTACTATACTTCTATGCTCCCCACCATCACCAACCTGCATTGACCAGTATGGTGAAAATGCAAAGATAACCACCACAACCCATTGGGGAGGCATTCATCCAGTAGTGGATTTCCACATGTACACGTGACATGCAATGTAAACATGCAACATAATTGAAACACATCTCACCTCTGTGTATGTTGTTTTTTATGTGTTCAGATAATGGACAATTGTCACCCTATCAATTATTTAAGTCGGGACAGGGGCACATGTAAACCGTATTCATCATAAAGTCACCATATGCGAGCATGTTTTTGTCACACTGCATTTGGCAGTGGTGAACAAGCACAAATAAAATAGCAAAAATCTCAACGCATTCATAAAAAGATTTCCCTCCAGAGAAAAACAGATAAACACTATGCTCCAGGTTATAAGACACTCCAGAGAATACAATGCATCCCAAACTTGTGCCTGAGCTCAAGCAAAGTATACACACATCCGGTCTCGCATACACCGACCACATTATACAATGCACCCAACCTTTGCTTTAGAATACAGGAGCAAACAGTACATAGCATAATGCATGACATGTATTGCTACAGAGGGATACTGCATCTAAGCCGGACCCAAAGAGTGACCAACGCAGAAGTAAGACAAAGGTTGTAAATAGAAGAAGACAACCTGATGATGCAGGGAGTGATGGGAAGGAATCTGGCACTATTTGGACACGTATGTAGAATGGACAACAACAGGAAAATTAAAAGTGTGTTGTTCGGGAAAAATGTAAGGAACCATAAAGAGAGGAATACTGAACAGAGAATGGCTTGATGACGACATAAGAGATTGGTGCCTGGAAGATGTGGCCGCTACTTGAGCATATTGGCACAAGACAGAGGAAAGTGGAAACAAAATGACGAAATGTGCAGTGGACACCTATAGACTATCTGCCCATGGATCTTGATGACAATGCCTAAAATACTCGTTATGAGACCTGTCTTATCAATCCAAGAATATAAATTATAGCACTTCTTGGCCAATGGTCTTTCTCTGCTCTACAGAAGGACTATTGCCCGACATTTTCTCCCTTTATATATTGTGCTGAGTTTTTTTGCCCACCCTTTTTCAAGTAAATATTTGCCAGGTAGCTCAGCGGCAGAGCGAAAAGATCGCAATTTGGGGGTGGCCGCAAGTTCAAATCCCGGTTAGTGATTGACTCAGCCCATCATCCCTCTGAGGGGTCAATACAATTACTACCACTTTGTGGGGAGATCAACAGCGGTCATCCAATGGATAACCTTGCCTCCTCCATTGGACTCGTGAATTTCCACCACTGACTCAGTGGTGGTGAAGAGGAGATAATCAGGAAAATACAGTAATGTACTTTTTATTTACGAATTATTATAACCGCCTAAAGCAGTGGTTCTTAACCTTTACTGCAGCCTTGCACCCCTTCTGTTCACAATCGTAAAACACGCGCATAATGTTACTACGTACATAGATTCGATAAAACAAAGTAGCGTTTAATTTGTGTGTTGATGATTTACCTTCTAAAAACATCTGGCATGGCGAGATGCCCCCAAAAAGGGCATCTCACACCCCCCAGGGAGTGCATGCACCCCAGGTTAAGAACCACTGACCGGGGATGGCAAGCGTCTGGTTTTTCGCCCAACACAATTCCTGCGGAGGGAGCTGGTAGGAACGTTGGGTTGCTCGGTCAATGGCCCAGGGTCAATGGCGGCGTGGTGTATTCCGCAAATATGGCCGACTGTGAAGGCGGGCACAAGCCGGCATGAGTAGGTTAAACGCTGAGTTTTATAAGGGCACCACGGAGTGATCAGCCCCTCCCTACCCAGCCCCACCCCTCCCACCCCCCACCCAGCCCCACCCTCCCCACCCAGCCCCTCCCACCCAGCCCCTCCCCACCCTCCCCTCTCCACCCAGCCCCACCCCTCACATTTCTGGATGCACGACGGACGGGCGGACACAATAATCCCCTGTGGGCTGGTGTAACCAGGAGGTTCCTACCAGTAAAATTGCCTCCTCCTATTCTCAAGGCTCAGCTGCAAACCGTGAACACTTTTTTGGGGCGACGTGAGCGAGCCCAACCTTTCCGGCGATGGCGGAATTGCACCAGGCATGGCCAATCTATTTAATATGAATTGCATGAAAAATTACTACTTATTAAATTATCCATGCTGGGCACATCTGATGTAGCCAGAATAGGTGGCGTGGTGGGAGGGAAGAGGGGGCTAGGGGGGGGGGGAGAAATTATTTTATCTATCACAGCTGAATTTAATTTGTTCTTAGCATCTATAATGGAATAACTTTGTGTTGTCATTTACGCATTTACTGTTATTTTTGTTCAAATAAAATCTCCACGCATTCGAGCATTGTAAAATGTTTAAAACATATAATGAAGCGAGAAAATAAAATGCAGCTACTCCTAACATTGCAATTACATAATTATGGATTAATAAGGCTTTACAAGACAACCACCATAGCGATGTTTGACTGTTAATAATTCGGTCCTGTTGATAAAATTACAGATAATTTTCCATTGGATATTACTTTTTGAATAATCAAGCAATAATTAAAGTGATGTACAGACACTACATAATACAGTTCAATCCTGAACTAGTTTATCAATGAAACACATTCATATATATCTCTATCGATTGGAAGAATTATGAGAAATTTGTATTTTGATTAAGCACCCTACAATACATTGCTCAATATTTCAGTATTTATTTTGCAAAAATACAGAATAAGGAATGATTCATTACAAACCACGAAACACACACACAAACATACACGGATTCAATGAAACCCATTTAATATGAGTTCACCTATTACATCAAAGTCATTTTCATGTTATAATTACTAAACAATGCAAGCGTCTACACTGCTTCATTGGTTTTGTAATAAATCACACTTAAATACAGCTGCAGCAGTATTCAATATTGTATCACACGTTCATATTTCCATGGATGATGAGCAAAATAAGTCACAAAGCAAAATTAGCTTCCCACTTACTTGAGCATGGGACATTGCTCATCTCCAATTTACAGTGGTGGAAATTCCACATTCCTATGGCGGGGTTGAGATTTTCTTCAGGACAATCACTCTTGACGTCCCCACAAAGATTAAGAGCTGAGGAAAGCCCTAACTGGAATTGAAACATACAACCGTCTGATTCACGAGCCACACTTTCTGCCACTCACTGCCGTCCACGCTACCAGGTAAAGGTGCAGCCATGAAACAACTTTCTCATACCACATCTGGCAGAATGGATCTCCACTAGGGTAAGCTCAAAAGAGCCCTCTCTAGAGCATATTTGTCCTACTCTTTCACACTGGCCAGGCATCTTGGAAGATGTAGGAGTTGCCACATTTTATTGCTGGGTGGGCAGAGGCAGGAGGATTCAAGAAGCTTGCCTATTTTTTCAACTGGCACATCAGGAGATCGAACTAGTGGCCTCCTCTGGGTTATACATCCATTGTGCTAACCGTTCGACCATGGCAATATCCATAGCCAGATTATAGATAGTAAAACCATCTTTATTTATGACTATGTAAAACTCAATTGAGAAACGTGCATCTCACATAGTGCATGTTTGTATATATTTTTTATATTCGGCAGTATTATACGTTTGAAGTCTAACATAAACTGGCAATGTAAAAAAATAATGACTTTGGATAAAGTGAGCGGTATGCGTTGAATAATAAATATTGCATTGCCGCTTGTGGTGTTGAAGGGCAAGAGACGTTTCTTGTGCGAGTCGAAAGCACGCCGTGATGCCGGTGGGGGTCGTGACCTTAAATTGCCTTTGGACCTCCGAGATGAAGATGCATTTTTTTTGTTGCTGCGGAAATCAGACTGCACAACACGTACTCAGCACCTCCAATCGAGCCCCGGAATTATTCTGTCCGGGAGTCTATTAGCGACCTTTTCATAAATTAATTTGCACCTCCGATTATTAATACGCACCCTCCGATTAGCACGGCTGCCTACGTACGGTGCTGAAAGACGTTCAACGTGCATAGATATAATTGCTGCAGTTTTGTAAAAAGCTAAATTCCATAAAGATATATAACAGTGTGTGTATTAGGAATGTGTTTTTGGATTTAAGCAGATCAGATTGTTGGGATTAAGGACAACTTTGGTTCTTGGTTAGAATTTTCTGATCATTTACATGATGTCATATTTTTTGCGTGTCTTCACGTGAACAAGTGACGTCACCTGATGGCACATGCCACCACCTATAGCAGCAAACGCGCAAAAGTAAGGGACGTAATATAAGCGCTGTCATTTCCCGTGATATCGTAATTTCGGTTCAACCCGAAATCTTTCATAGCGAAGCCAGATTTTTAAGATTCATCCGAAAATTGGTAACATGTCGCAAGTGTTTATTTTTGTCTGTACCCACATGTTATACATGTATTTTTTTTGTATTATGCAGTCATTTATAACCAAAAGGGCTTTATTACCGCTTTGACCTTTGTCTTGATCTTGCCCATTTCTATACCAAACGTCCGCTGGGCCATCTCGCCCTTTCGACTGCAGAGTACCTGACGATCGGCATCTCGTCGGTGAAGAGGGCGAGGGGCAACTACCTGCTGCAGACGCTCAAGTCGATCTTCGAGCAGTCGAGCGACGACGAGCTCGCGGACATGGTGATCGTCGTGCACCTCGCCGACTTCGACGCGGAGTGGTGCGAGGGCACGGCGCGCGCCGTCGCCCGCAAGTTCTCGCAGCACGTCATGCGCGGCCGCCTGGTGGTCATCCACGCCCCGCGGCACACCTACCCGCCGCTGCAGGGCCTCAAGAGGAACTTCGACGACCCCGACGACAGGGTGACCTTCCGCTCCAAGCAGAACGTCGACTACGCCTTCCTCACCAACTTCTGCGCCAACCTGTCGGAGAACTACCTGATGCTGGAGGACGACGTGGCGTGCTCGCGCAACTTCCTCACCTACGTGCGCAAGTTCGTGTCCTCGCTCGAGGGCCAGCCCTGGGCCACGCTCGAGTTCTCCAAGCTGGGCTACATCGGCAAGCTGTACCGCTCGTGCGACCTGCCCCGCCTCGCCCGCTTCCTGCTCATGTTCTACCAGGAGATGCCGTGCGACTGGCTCCTCAACCACTTCCGCACGCTGCTGGCGCAGGGCGACGCCATCCGCTTCAAGCCGTCGCTGTTCCAGCACATGGGGTACTACTCGTCCTTCCGGGGCACGGCCAACAAGCTCAAGGACGACGACTTCGAGGACGAGCCGTCCGACGTGCCCGACAACCCGCCCGCCCTCCTCAGGACCAACATCGAGGTGTTCGAGGCCTACCACCCGTACAAGGCCTACGGCCTGGGCGGCGAGTACTTCTGGGGGAAGGCGCCGAGCGCCGGCAAGTTCTTCCTGCTCGTCTTCAAGAAGGCGGCGAAGATCGAGAGGATCAAGGTGCGCACGGGAACGGAGGACAGGAAAGGGGACGTGCTGCGTCACGCCGCGCTGGCCGTCGGGGACGGCCTGAAGCCCACGTCCACGGGGAGAGACTGCAGCAACTACGTGCCGCTCGGGGAGTTCGCCGACGGGCAGTTTCGACCTGGCGGGTGTATCGACATTGGTGGCGATGAACAGTAAACTGCCTGCTCATTAGAGTGGTGAAGGAACAGACCGAATGGGTCATTATACAAAACATTGGCGTTTGGACCGTGTAAATCACGCGCTCTGTTTGAAAAAAAAAATCCTTTTTTACTGTGTACGAAATCGAACTGCTCGGTATTTTTGTGCTGCACATTTTTTTACGCTTTTTTTTCTTCCCACATTAAAATCGACAATGTCAAACTACCGTTTACATTTTCGTTTTTAAATGCCTATTGTGATTTGTTTGGGTTCAGGTAAAATTGTAGTTACAATTACCAGCACTATGACAATGTTTAATTATGGTTTGTTCTTTTAATCGTTACCGCACAAAAATCGTTGACAAAATAAACAAAACACTTTGTACAATATTTTTTCTTGCTTCACTCTACAAACGTGCAATGAATCCAATATTGTATAGACACGCAGGCGTCGACCTGCAATGCACATTTTACACGTCCCGATTTCTTCGCCGCTTGCACCTGCACAGTTGCCTTAATAACGAATACAATAATCAATGGCCGGTGTTAAGTGACCTCACATTCAAAGGAGCAAAGCACACTGCTGACCTCAGTGACATTTGTGGACGCTCGCATACGGTGGCCTCAAAAAATAAAAATAGCAAATCACTACACATTGTGAGGTGTGGGTGGAGAGGAAAAAAACTTAGCACAACAATTGCAAATTCAAGAAACCTTCCACTACAAGGCTTAATGAAAGGTTAAATTACGAGCGTTTGTCAGTTGGGAGTGTGTGCTTTTTGCCTGGGTTATTTTTTGCAATATTGGTGGTATTATTATTCTTGCTGCAGCCCACTGCCTAAATGCCCTACGACTCTCAGAAACGAAACGATGAATATTTCATAAGGAAGTAATAATGGAACACGGGGTATCGTAAAAAAAAGTGGTCAATACGACGAAAGTTGTTGATCACATGAGCACTGGACCAAGGCACAGGAGAAAAATATGTTTTTAATACTTGTCTATTTTAAATATAAATCTAAAACATTCACGTTGATCATTTTTGCACGAGCACTAAAAATTATGAGCATGAAAGCATGAATAATATTTGATTTCAGGTCTACATTTAAAGAGTGCTGTACGTGAAACATTCACTCATGTGTAAAGAACATTCACAAATAATTTGCTAATGTTCGTTGATGCAACAATTCATCCAGCGGTTAATATATATTGTACTGAATCTCAAAGTTACCGAATTGGTTTATGTTTTGCATATTCACCTGGGTCTCCTGAAGCGTGTAAGCGTGCGGATGCATAATAACACAGAAATGATGCGTTTGATTTATATTTACAAACCCAATTGAATTTGCTTTTCATAAAGAAAAATTTACATTTATTTAAAATAAGCATCTGCCGGCACATTTAAATTATTAGCAACAAATGTTTTTTGATGAATGTAATGGTTTGAGTGGCCGATTTTATCCCGCCAGAATAGTGCCTTTAGTTATTTATATGTCAAAGTAATCGTCAAAGTTGGGTTATAAACCACTTTTAATATCACAAAAATGAGTTTTTATATGCGGTAGCTATAAAAACGCCTTAACATATGCAAAGTGTCACAATTTATACGCAATATAATGCATCAAGAGTGGTACTGAATTCAAAGCAAAACCTCTATTTAAGAATTCTACCCACTCGTGACAGATTCAAGTCCACGAAATGGAATTTCAGGTTTAAGAAACAACACGATAATGAAATAAACACAAAAAAGCTAGAGTTTGAACCTCAGAGAAAAATAATATATGTAGAGTATATACATTTATACGATAACGTGTTTAGTTAAAATAAAGTAAAGTTCCCAAATTTCAAAATGGGACTCAATTTAAATTTTTTTTGTCCAATAAACTCGATTTCATTTGGACAATTCTATTGTGATCGTTCGCCAATCTAAAAGTTAAATATTTTCATTGAATTATAGACTGTTTTGTATATTCATGGGATTTTTTTAACGTAATAAACATACCGAGTAAATTTATTATGAAATCCTATTATTTTACAAAGTCAGTTACATATCAACAGGTAGCAATACTGGTTGACTTGGAATAAGGAAATTCCCTTAATTTAACCCGGAGATGAAAATACGGGCCGATGAAGACACGCGATGCAGGCAGAATGATTGAAGAAACTTTCTCCCATTGTTTCAACTGCCGCGCGTGGAGATGGGATCGAACCGGCGACCTCTGGATTACAAATTCGGTGTGCGAACCGTTACATAAAGGTAGCATCCCATTGCAAACCAGCCACTGTTTAACACTGTACTCAAAATGCTGCTTAAATATATTATATTAAGGAAAACCAAAGTACATTGTACATCAGTGCAACATTAACACGAAAACAACTTAAAAAATATATTTGATCAGGTAAGGCCCACTGAGATGTATAGCTCTTTTTCAGAAGCGGCCTGGCCACAAATGATAGCTTTACGAAGTGGCTTATCATGTGGAAATTTATAGCAGCAAAATACTCTAAACGTCTGTTTTTCTAAATGGGGAAGGGAAAAACGGAGAACCCGGAGAAAAATCCACGCTACCACAAGAAGAGAGGCACGCAAACTCCAAATATCCGGGTGTCAGGATTGGGATCGAACCTACAACCTCCTGTATACCAGGAGAGGTAGTTAACATCTCGCCATTGCGGAAATTGATCTCCAGGTGTACATCTGCCAATATGGCCTCCGTACCATTCGAATATGCAATGTTGTTCAGGTGTTTTCGGGTCCCCTCCCCCCGAAAGAATGCCAATCACGGGAAGTCAGAGTGCTTTTAATTCTCGCTCAGAGGATGGCAGCAGCAGGACTCAATTTCTCATAGAATATATTTCAGCAGACCCTGAACTCCCCAACACCCTACCATCCAGGGGGTTTGGGGATTTCTTGAACTAAGCCCTTGAACAGAGCCGGCTGGAAGAGGAAAGCTACTCTTTCAGAGGAGCATCCGGTTCCTGGGTCTTACACTTTGCTAATAACATGGGTACATGTGGCACACACGCACACAATTTACTATTTCATAACAAAAAGAAGGCTGCTCTCTGGCTTGACGCCATTGCACGAGATGAAGATGCCCTGGCGCATACCCGGCCTGCATTAATGCCGCGGTGAATATAAGATGGGTTCGTGTTGGGTTGTCACCCTCTGGGTGACAGCAAAAGGGGGGCCCGTATATCGTGTAAGAACAGAATCTCACAACAATACCCGGGACGGGTGGAGAACTGCGTGTGAACGCATCGTGGCGTATTATTAGGCAACGGACAAAAGCGTGGGCTTTTCATATTTTAGAAAGGCTCACCGATGTTTCAATGCAGTTATCTAAACAAAAAACAGAGGGCAAATGTCAAGAAAAAATCAGGAAAGGTGGCGAACTTGACGGTGTGTGCCTCTGCGAGTAGAACGGTTGGCGAGCAAAGTCTTAGTATTAGCGATTAACGATGGCTTTGTCGTGGAAGTTAAGCTGGTTATCCTCTTGATTTGCCCTCATGAACAGCAGTGAAAGTTATTTTAAGGAAGAGGTCATTGGGAGTTAACATAATTGGCCTTTATCCGAATTATTTTAAGTTCTAAAAGAGTGAAGCTCATGAAAAGTGATTATACCATCTATATCCTGCACTTTATGGATTTTTCTAAAAGAATGGCCACTTTTTAACCCGGACAAAAGTCACACGGTGGTTCTCTCAGTTGGCCTGTACATCTCTCCAAAGTCTTGTCTAGTTGTACCCTGTGTTGTCTGGTTGTACCGTGTTGTGTGGTTGTACTGTGCATTGTCTGGTTGTACTGCGTATTGTCTGATTGTACCCTGTTTTGTCTGGTTGTACCGTACGTTGTCTTGCACACTGTCGGAAGTTTTGCTCCCCATGCTGGGAGCTCCAGGAGATGGAGTGAAAGGGCAGATTTAACGCCGGACAACGCGCGGTACAGCCCGAAAGCAGAGAGCAAAACCATGAAGCAAAGTAAATAACTACGGTGGTAGCAAACGTGAGAAAAAAATGCATTTGTGCTGAAAAGGATACCTTTAGGCATCTCCCTGTGAGAATGTTGCCCACTGTCATTGGCCCACAGAAAGCAGTGCGAATGTCACAGTTCATCGTGCGACAAAATAAATAAATAAATTGAAGAGATAAAAAAAGACCTTTATTCCCGAAGCACAAATATTTCTTGGCCGCCTCAGAAATCCACGTGGAATATCCCTGTGCGGCTCGCTGTTCTGTATGTTTTCATTATCATCAATATCCGCACAACACCACTCGTCCATGACACGATAATTATTTGCAAAACCTATTATCCGCAGGTGCTTAGGTCCGCAAAAACTCCTATTATCCTTAATCTTCCTAACAACTTATTTTTCCTAACAATAATAGGATCTGTGACGTGTGGCCCCCACAGCAAACCTGACTCTGCTGATGAGGCACCGAATGTTCAAAACCAACCAAACATTTTTTTGTTTTTTTTACCAATGCTGCTGGCAACATTTCACTCCCAGAAGGCTGTGCGACCGAGATGCGTAAAACAACGTTCATTTGTTATGTTTAGAGGCAATCATGGGAGTGTGGCATATTAAGAGGTTTTTTGGGGGGTTAGATCGCATAAATACATAAATGTGTCGTTAAAACCCGCCACCACCCGACACAGACACAGCCAACGAGTAAGGGTTGTCATGTAAACACCGGCGTGCTGTACCAGTGACGAATTGGCACGTTCTGTCGGGTGGTGGCGGGTTTTAACGACACATTTATATATTTACGCGATCTAACCCAAAAAAAACTCGATTATGGATGATATTGATCGCGAAAGCCTACGTGTTAAACAGGTGGCATATTGGTATGAAGCTTTCGTGACTGCAGGAATCCATACTCCTTCAGCAGTTTTTACTTGCTGTGGTTGTCCCACCTGATGACGATTGCTTGTGTTACGATCGAAACGTCGTGATCTATTATTTTTCCACCCACGTGACTTTACCGAAAGAGCCAAAGAGTATAGGAGGCATATTGTCTGCTTATTTATTTTGCATAATATTTATTAATTCCTTAAGTGGAGTGTCCATAGGCAGGCACACGGCACAATTCTCTCGCCAAAGACAGCCCATTACGGTGATAACGATGATGGCGAAACCATGAACGCAGTACTCAGTCGCACAAACACCCTGCGAGAAGAACTTAATGTATAAATAAATCTCGCAATTTCGCCTTAGGTTTGTACGATGTTGTCTTAATGTAGCAAAAAAAAAAAACACCACGAGACTTGTTTTTTTTATGGCGCCAAGACGACAGATCCAAGCCCTCAGCGTTCGCACAAAAACAGCACTAAACAAGGCTATTAAGCAGAGTACATCTGTGCGTTGGGGTTGCTTGTGCTAAGTGTTGCTCTAAATGCAAGCACAATCGATTTAAAACAAAAAATCTTTCCCACCAACATCGGACTGCTGCATCAGCAACGTTCCTTTTTTTTCAACAGCAGGCCGATTTTCCGCATCAGTTAATTAAAATGAACAGGGTGACTCAAGTCAAGAGTGGAGGGTTTTTTTTTATCAGCCGCGCAATTGTTTATTTTTTTTGGTGCTGTTGCCTGTTCATTCATTTCTTTGCAGTGGGATGCGCAAACACGATTGCCGGGCAAGACCTCTCGGAAAAAGGTTGCCACCTCTGCAAGTGCTTTGCTCACGCCAAGGATTGTGTTGTAGCAATTTTTTTTAAAGTGCCCTTTTTTATTATTACACGCTTTATTAAACTCTGGTGTTGTATCCTCAAATTTGTAACTGAATTTTAACCAACTTCTCAATGTGGTATCGACTGAAAACTTGGTATGCTTATGTCATACTGATGACAATACTATATTCTATCATAAAAAAAAAATTAAAACATTCTTTTTTATATGTTATTTTTCGGCTTTGGTCTAATTGTCCATGGTCAACTGACGTTGGCTGTAATTAGCCACGGCCCCTTACGTTGTGGCAAGCTTCGGGGCCACTTCCTGGAGTCGTGGAGTTCTTCCATTACTAGTACGGTATATTTCATAAAAGCGTGTTTTTAAAAACTTTTTTTTTATATATATACTACTTATTTTTTTAAACTGGCGAGCTTAAAATTGAACAGGCGACCTCCTCGATTGTATCAACTGTGGATTGCAAATCCAGCGAGATAACCATGACACCACGGCATCTTGCCTTGATTCTGAGTTAAATAGATAACAAAAATATATCATGTTTATTACGTGAAAATTTTTTTTATGTAATGCACAAAAACAAGAACTAGCATAGCATTAACCAATATTCACGATTTAAGGATGCCTTCAAACCCTGTAATACTCAAATCGGGAATCGAAAAGTCCTATTAAATTAAACCAAATTCCCCAGAAATCCCATAATCATCAAACAGCTTGGGGATAACATATATCTCACGACATTCCTCAATATAACCAATGACTCGCTAAGGGGAGTCGCTATTTACTCATTGTTACGTTGAAAGTGATATTAATACTGCAATCAAGGTTAGGCGAAATCTGTATCATTCAGAATTTCCACACAGACACGCACGCACGTGCGTGTACATGCACTGAGTGTCCCAGATAGATATACTCAGGGCCGGTATAGCTGGTACTTGGCATTATTTAACAAATGGTGCGTGTCCTCCCTCGCGGCTTCCTGCTAAAGCTTGTAATTACGTCTTTTTAAATCATGCCTGGGAGGCGCAGTGGATAGGTACCACTCATACATCATAATGAACCCAGAGAGGCCGAAATCACTCCAGGGGCTCCAAGGTGGGTTTGTTTAAAGTGTATTATTTATTTGTTTTTTTTTGTCGTATCACACCTGCAATTGCAGGTCGCTAACGTGGTGTAATGGTTAACACACTGGACAATCCAGAGGCCGCAGATTC